AATCTCACCATCACCCTTTTTTTTTTTTTAAGCAAAATCAGTCAGTGATGATCATAACAATAGTGGCCAAGTTTTATTCATTTATTTTGGTTCTAAAACTTAGACGACCCTCTTCGCTGTGCCCAACAACTGCACGTGTGTTTGATGTTTGTTCAACTGCTGCATGCGTTCATACGTAGCAAGTAAAATAGGACAAGACAGTAAAAGTGAACCAGGCACTGTTACTTTTTTTTTTCTAAGAAGGGGATGTGACAAGCAAAGAGGACAAGAGTAGGGAGCAATGCTCAACCCAGTGAGGAAAGGATGCGACCAGCAGCAAATTGGACTGGACAGTTGAAGTGCGACCGGTCCTGCTAAACTCTGTCAGGAATTGATGCAACTAGTAGCGAATAGAACAGGACGGGACAGTCTCAATGAGCTAGGCTGGGCTACATCCTTAAAGCAAGGGACACGACAAATAGAAGATAGGACAGGACAGGCGTAGTGAGGCGGGTAGTGTTATGCCCTGTAAAAAAGGGATGCGACAAGTAATGTTTAGGAAAGGACAGGAACAGTGAGCCAGAATAGAGCTCCACCTTGTTCGGGAGGGATGAGATAAGAAGCAAATGAAACGGGATGGGGCAGGACAGAAGCACTCAGCCAGGCAGGGCTATACTCTGTGAGGAAGGTTTGTGGCGAGTAGCAGACAGATCAGGATAGTAGGACAGGACAGATGCAGGGAGCCAGATAGGGCAACACTGTCTAAGGAAGACCACCAGAAGTTGTGGTCTGGGTAAAGCTAGACCCTGTCAGTAAGGAATGTGACAAGTAGCAAATAGGACAGGACAGAACTGGACAGTGCCACACTTTGTAATGGACGAAAGGTAGCAAATGGGACAGGACAAACGCAGCTAGTCCGGCAGTGCTACACCCTGTGAGGAAGGTACACCACAAATAGCAAATACAGCAGAACAGTAGATGTGTGCTAGCCAGTGCTACACCCTGTGATGAAGGGATGCTATGAGTAGCAAATTGACTCGGACAGTTAGCCAGACGGTCCAACACTCTGTGATGAAGGAATGCTAGAATTAGCACTTTAGCACAGGACAGGAGCAGTGAACCAGGAAATGCTACACCCATTGTGGAAGGGACACATCTAGCTAATTGGATGGCAGCATGAGGTTGCCATTTAGGACACAGGATATTAGGAGATTGTGCAGGTGTGCCTAATGAAATGTCCAAAGAGCATGAAAATACACACACAAGCATGGCATGCCTCGCACTTTTCACCACAGCAACTGACCATGACTCCCGTGTCACCTTGGCAACTTGATGTGCGACACATCTTTGCACGCCCATGTTAAATTTGTGGCGGTGGCAAAGTTTCAGCGAGCTTGTTAAGTCCAGAGGAGGTGATATGAAAATAAATATCATCCACAATGACGATGGATATGTTGTCAATTGATTTCGAGTCACTGCACAGCACCGGGCAGTGTGCCGTGTTTGCTAAGCTAACGGCTAGCATCTACCTCTGTCTCAGCCATATTGTCCTCTGTCTTCCCAGAATGCTCAGCGGCTAGGCGGCTCCCAGGTGCCGCAGCCCCTCACCACCCCAGTTGTTTCCGTGGCGACGCCCAGCCTCCTGGCGCCCTTCTCCGCCATGCAGACAGCCTACAACACTGGTAAAAAAATACTAATTAAAGTCCGAGAAACACCTCTGTGTCATCATAGCTTATAATAAAATGCAACATTGTAAGCCCAAGTGTTCAACAAAAATCTGGTTTTATTCAGAAAAATTTGGACGTTTATCATAGTTATAAGTTAAATACAACTGTCAACAATTGTACCTGCCAGGATTGAAGCATAGGTTAAGCCACTGTAACATTTGGCACATCTATAATTCAAACATATTGCCCGTAATTAATGTCTACACTTTTATCATATTTATATTTGTTTGCATCTAGACATGGGTTGCAACTAACAATTATTTTAATAATAAATTAACCTTTAATTTATGATGTTGATTAATTGATAAATTAAGGTGCAGAGAATAAAGGCTACAATCGTGGCTGCGGTTACAATATGAATCCACTAGATGGAGCTACGCTAAAGGGAATACAATACAATACAGCTTTATTTATGTAGAGCTTTCACAACCGCTGCAGCTGTGACAAAGCAATTTTCAAAACATTTAAAATCCTACATCCAAGAAATCGGAATATTGATCCATGTATAAGACGCATCGGATTAGAAGTTGCTTTTAGGTGCGTCTTATAAGGCGAAAAATACAGTATATTGTATTTCACTCCATATTTACACTAACATTTAAAATTGTAAATGAATTTCATTCTGCAAGTTTGTTTAAAACGGACTCAAATGTTCAAGAATAACTTGAAAAAAATCATACGAGATGCTGGTTCATGAAACAGTGTGTCTCGTCCAGCTTTACTTCAGTGTTTGTGATGATTTAAATTTCTCTTATTTACAATGTAGATGCACTCACCATCAAAAGCTTGGAGCGCACGTTTAATTGGCGCTGAACTTTTGACATGAAAGTGTGCCGAGCATTTCAAACATGAAAGTGCCTGTTTTTTGCTCCAGTTAGCGGGCGACCCACATCCTTGCGTTCGTGCGAGCCATCTGCCTCGAGCGACGCTAGGTAACGCGGGCGTCACGTTGAGTAAAATCTGAGCGTGCGCCACAACCCCCTCAGATAGGATTGCCTCGCTCATGCTAGCCATGTTAGCCTCCGAGCTGCTATTCTGCCCAACGAGTTGCAAACGAGCATTTCTAGCCAGAATTAGAGTTTCAGTTTTTTGTTGGTTGTTGTTGTGATCCTCAGCTTGTCCCACATCAAACGAGGTTTCAAATTAGGGTTTCAAGCCTTGATTAGGGCTCGAAACTTGAATTAGTGTTTCAAATAAGGGTCGCAAGCCAAGGGTAGGGTATCAAGCAAGCAGTGGGGTTTCAAGCCAGGGATAGGGTTTCAAATTCGAATCTCAAGCCTGTGAGAGGATTTCCAATTAGGTTTGGGGTTTTAAATTAAGGTTTCAAATTTTAGGTTTGGGTTTTTAAAGGGTTTCGAGCCCTTGTTAGGGTTTCAAACAACCACGTATGTTTCAAATTGGTTTTCAAAAAAAGCTTTTAAACTCGTGTGTGTGGGGGTGGGGGGGTTCTCACCAAGGTTCTAAGTTGGGTTTTCGGGTTTCAAACAAGGGTTTCGGTTTGGAATGAGTGTTTGAAGTGCTACTTGCTCCCATTAGCCGTGGCGCGCGTTGGTGGGTGGCCGTCCGCCTGGAGCGGCGGTAGGTAACGTCAGCGTCCCGCCGAGTAAGGCCCGTTTAAGAAACATGAATAATGTCGTCAAGAATCTCGCGAGCCTCCCGGCGTGGAATGAATATTCACTTTGTAGCTACTTCAAAGCCGCCGCGTGAATATGATATGAAGATGACGATGAATATGGATCAGCGCCGCTGCATATTGATGTCCGGCACGCTCCCGTTTGTTTCAGAGTACCAGTTGACGAGCGCCGACCTGACGGCCCTGCAGACGTTCACGCCGACGGGCCTGGATGTAAATTCAGGTGAAGGTTTTGAATTAGGGTGTCAAACATTGGTTTGAAATTAGGTTATCAAATGAGGGTTACGGTTTTATTTGCGGTATCAAATCAAGGTTAGGGTTTTGTATCAGGGTATTAAGCTAGGTTTTTAAAAAGTACAGTTTGCGTTTTCCATTTAAGGTGTCAAAATAAGGTTAATGTTTTTTGTTTTTTTTTTTAATTAGGGTAGCAAACCACAGTAATGGTTTTAAATTATGGTATCAAGTTAGGGTCATGTTTGATTAGGGTATCAAATTAAGGTTGGGTTTTTTAATTAGGGTTTCTATGGGTATGATTTCATTCCAGGTTCAAATGAGTGTTTCAAGACAAGGACGGTTTTATTTGAGGTATCAAATCAAGGTTAGGGTTTTGAATCATGGTATCAAGCTAGGTTTTTAAAAAGTACAGTTTGCGTTTTCAATTTAAGGTGTCAAAATAAGGTTAATGTTTTGAATCGGAGTTTCATATTAATGTTTTTTGTTTTTTTTAATTAGGGTAGCAAACCACAGTAATGGTTTTAAATTATGGTATCAAATTAGGGTCATGTTTGATTAGGGTATCAAATTAAGATTGGGTTTTTTTAATTAGGGTTTCTATGGGTATGGTTTCATTCCAGGTTCAAATGAGTGTTTCAAGACAAGACACGGTTAGGGTTTTGAATTAAGGTTTCAAACTAGGGTTCATGTTGAAAAGAATGTTAAAAGTCAAATCAGGATTTTAAACCGAGGTTATGGTACTAAACCAGAGTTTCGCTTCAAAGGTTTCAAGGCCAGGGTAAATTTTCCAAATAAGTTTTGAATCAAAAGTTTTGGTGTCAGTATTAGGGTTTCAAGTTATGGTTTTAATTTGTGTTACAAGCCTGGGTTAAGAGTTTGAAATTGGGGTTTTGAATCCATGTTTTTAGTTTTTGTTTAGAGTTTTCAAAGTAGGGTTCCAATTTCAGATTGTCAGCCTGGACTAATTTGAGTTTAAAGCCGAGGGTAGGGTTTTCAATTAGCCTTTGAGGCAAAGGTTCGGGTTCCATGTTAGGGCATCAAACCACAGAACTTTAAGTGAAGGTTTTGAAGTCGGGTTTCATGTCAGGTGGTGATGGTGGGTGGGTTTTTTTTTTTTTTTTTGTTTCGTTTCGCTTCTCCTTCACTGTTTTTTTTCAAGCAGTGTTGTCATGAAAATTGTTTTGAATGTAATTTTAATCTCAAAAACGCTTCCACTCGCCTCCGTTAGCCGATAGCTTATCTTAAATCCATCCAAGTAGCTTGTGCATCTCGAAGGTGACCCATTTTAGCGACATCCTGCGCTACTCTGCTCGCTACCAGTATCAGTTGTATCAGTTACAAACATATGAGGTTGTGCCCCCCCCTTTCCCCTCCCCCCCACTTGTTTCCACAGCATGTGGGGTTCAGACAAACAGAGTGCAGAGATGGTTAACTGCATCTCCAGCATTGCTGCTAACCTCAGGTGAAGCACAGTCACCACACCGACATGCTCGCTCGCTCGCTCGCTCGCTCATCTTTGTCTGTGCTGTGTGGCTTCGGTAGAACCGTACACAGGACGTCTGCTCCTGGCTATGTCGTTAGCGTTGGAGCTAGGCCGCCGCTCTGAACTCCATCACTGTCACCGGCACGCTGACTCGGACCTTTTTTGCCCGCCGTCATCCATCTACATGTTCAACATGAGGATGGGGAAAGTGTGTGTGTGTGTGTGTGTGTGTGTGTGTGTGTGTGTGTGTGTGTGTGTGTGTGTGTGTGTGTGTGTGTGTGTGTGTGCATATGCCAGGGAACGAGTCCATATTAGCCGCTGATGTGACATATTAGAAAGTTCCCTCCGGCGGGCACAGGCGCTAATTGGCAGGGTGAAATTGGCGTCCGTCATGTGGAGCTGCAGGCGAGAGATGGGGAGGGGGGGTCCCGATGGCAGTGTCATAAGATGAGTCTTCGTTAAAAGTTGTTGCGTGAGAGGTAGCACTTTTTGGTTGGAAAATAAAAGAGTGGAGAATGGGAAGAAGAATGAGATGTGGTGGTGGTGGTGTAGCATCTTGTGTGTTGAGGCTTGGCTGATGACTTTTGTACTTCCATAATGACAACCTTGCCTGCTTTTTTTTGTGTAGTTATTTTTATTTTATTCTTGGGAAAAGACACTTTTTTTTTCTTGGAAAAAAAAATGATTTTATTGTCAAATCATTTTCTGGAAAAAAAATATTGTATTGTTTGGCTTTTTAGTTTGCAACGATTTTCTTCTGGGATTTTTTACTTGTCCACAAATGTGTGATTTTCATCTCAAAAATTACACAAATGTTACTTTTTTAAACAAATATAACAAAATTATTGAAGTTTAAAAAATATATACCAAAAAGTTACCAAACTCGCAATAAAAAAATAATAAATTCTCATAAAATTAGGTCCAGTGAAATCCAGAAACACTTTTTTTTAACTTTTTTTTTTTTTTTTTAAATGTTAAGTCAAAAAGGCTGTCTTTATTTTATTTACTAATGAAACCAATATCGGTAAACATGACTGTTGAAAAGGCACTTCCAGTGTAGCGGTGGCAAAACCACTTGGCATTTTTATGTTGAGCTGTGTTGTCAGCACCTGTTAAAAGTAACCAATCAAGTAACTTGTAGTTTAACTTAGTTACTTTTAAAATCAAGTATTCAGTAAAGTAAGACAGCTTCCCAGTGTAACTGTGGCGACACTGCTCGTCTCCAGCATGTCTCACTCTTTTTGTGTTCTCTGCTGCCCCCTACAGGCCAATGGCTCCCCTCCCTCAGGGCACAGCGCTGACGGTCAACACCAACCCTCACGTCAACATCAAATCTGAGCCGGTGTCGCCCAACCGGGACCGCAGCACTCCCTGCCCCACCTTGGGCGGTGGCGTGCAAGTCCACGGGCAGGTGGTGCCGTCGTACCCCGCCAGCGGCCAAGGCCGTTCTCCCGTCGACAGCCTGAGCAGCAACGCCAGCTCGTACGACGGCAGCGACCGGGACGACGCCGCCGCCCCGGGCCGGGGCGGAGGAAGAGGGGGTGGGAGCGGCGGCGGGGGTCCGGACTTCCAGCTCCACCAGCAGGCCGGCGTCCAGCAACCCACCATGGTCCTACTGCGGCCCGCCTCGACCGAGCCGCAGGAACAGGACAACGTGAAGAGGATAAGGTTGGACACGTGGGTCACATAAAGTGCCGGCCGCTGCCATGCTTGGCCAGGCCGAGTCGGACGGAACCAGTTGAGGCCCGTGACCCCACCCAAACTCCCTTCACACACACACACACACACACACACACACACACACACACACATACGAGCATGCTTAACACTTGGGCACACACATTCACATACACTACTCAGAAAAGGTTAGGGGCTTTGAGGTGAATTTTCGGGATGAACCTGTCATGCATTAGAACCTTTTCAGTTGAACTTCATTTGACCTCTATCCTTTTGAAATCTGGAATGTTTCAGTGCTTTTTGTACAGTTTGCTTTTCTCAACATGTTTGTTTGTGGTTTGTTTTTTTTTCATTTATTTCCAATTAATTCCACTTGGCCTTTCGGTGCCTCTTCCAGTCTCTCAGTTACAACCTGCTGATGACACCGTGACACTAAACTTAGTGTCCACTGCCCTTTTCCCATATCGGTTAAGATTATGAAAAATATGACTCTAAATTTTTTAGATTGTGACTTTTTTTCCTCATATATTATTGTCCCTTTTTTTCTGGGGAGAAAAACATTTACTTGTTTTAAAGCTTCAGTGACATTCAGTGACAAACATTCTTCAAAAGATTACGAACATTCTTAAATATTGTATTTGTGTAAAATTAAGGCTGTATTTTTATTTCATTCTCACATTGCTTTTATTTTATTCTTGTAAAATAATTGGGTTTTCCTGGTGGGAAAAAAAAGAATTATTTTTATCTTGTAGATTCTGGATTTTTTTTTTTTTTTTAATTTAGTTCAGAGTGTTAGCTGCTGGTTGCAATACAGATACAGAGACACTGGAATAATCACAGATTTTTCCTTTTTCAGAATTTGTCTGGTTTGTAATTTGTTATTAAAAAAAAAAAAAAAACTAACCAGCAAGTTGTGCTGAAACCTTGCACAGCTGGCTGTTGAAAACTTTAGCGAAAGTCAAATTAAGTTCACCTGGAAAGGAAAGACCGCATTTTAGGCTCATCCTGAAATCACACCCTAAATACTAATGTCCCAAACATTTTGTGATCACATTTGCAGGAAGACTTCATATTTGTTTGTACATTTCACTCGGGACAGCAAGCCGGGAAAAAGGAAGCTCTATTGTGTAGTGCAAAAGGGGCTAAAGAGGTTTCCCAGCATGCCTTGCGTGCACCACTATTGTGTCAATGTGTCTCCATCATCTCCAGAATTTATCAAGACAATGAAGGAAAAGTGTGCCCCCCCCACACTCTCACAGGAAAAAGAACCTCCTCCCCCATCCCAATATCAGACTGACAACTCCCGCCTGAGTCTTTGGCTGCTTCTCACACTTGATGGTTTTTAAGCGAGCTGGTTTTGAATCCAAGCGTAGCAAAATGCATCACAACAAATAATGTGATATTGCTCCCTCCGCCTATTGGTCACAAGAAAGTCAACAAGATTGTTGCTTTGCTGTTCTGACGACAGAACAACACAAAATGGGCCTTTTTTGGTCATGACTTTTAAGAATTTCCCTGGGCAACACACCAGCAAATAGCCAAGTCCCATAAATTACCCAAACGACTGATTTCCGGTTCAGTTTCAGACCCCCCCCCTTACGTGACTGACTTCTTGTTCAATTTGGGCACATTTCCCTGAATACTTTCTGTTAAATTTCAACCACTAAAATGGCTGACTTTTTGTTCCCTGGGCAAAAATAACCAAGTTCCTGTTCGATTTTAATCATGAGTCTCCCATCTGGTTCAATTTCAAGAATTACTCCCTTAAAATGGGCGTCAACGCTAATTGTCAGACTTCCTGTTCAATGTCAATAGTCGAGTCCCCAAAATGGCCGACTTCCTGTTAGATTTTTTTTTTTTTAAACATGAATTTCTCAAAGGCCTGCTTCAAATTAAAATGACTGACCTCTTTTTTTTTTTTTTTTTAAGAGACCCATAAGTGGTTGGTTTGAAATTTTGGTCTTGATCCCCCATAAGTGATCTACTTATTGTTAGTTTTCAGACATGAGTCCCCCAAAATGGCCGCCTTCTGGTTCCATTTCAGGTATGACCACTTAAACAGCCGCCTTTCCGTTCTGTTTTGGACATGAGTCCTCAAAATGGCTGACTTTCTGTTGGCTTTTGGATATGAATGCCCAAACATTGCCGACTCCTTGTTTAACGAAACCTGCCTTTGTCCCCGTTACCACCCATGCTAATCATAATCCAGTTTTGTGACAAATTTTCCCAGAATTCAGCACATTAGTTTTCTTGTTACCATTCTTGTGACCAATCAGAGAAAAGAAAACCATCAAATGTTTTTTGTTGCATTTTGCTACCTTTTGTCTTTTTACCTTGTGAACAATCATCTACATTGCTTACAAATCAGACAGCTGAGACATGAATTAATTCATCAATTGATTAGTTAGCTAATTAAGGCAGGAAAGCAGCCTTAATTGGACTGATTTGTTGCCGTGGCAACAATTGAATCAGGGACGAGATGAGAAGTGGTGACTCCTGAAGTGAACCACATTGGGCGTCTGTACATAAATGTGTGTTGAGTGCGTTTGTATGACAAGTTTAAATAATAATAATAATAAAGATGACAACTACTGCGTGCACGCCACAGGGATTGTATATAGGAGCTCAGTATTTGGCAGGAAGTAAGGGGAAAAAAAAACATTCTCAGTGGAACTCCTTTTTTATGATTCTTTGACAGTGTGTACAGTATATAAAAATGTAGTTTGTCGACAATGCACCAGAGGGCGCTTTAGGGGCAGAAAAGGGACTCGACGATGATGATGATGATGATGATGGAGCGCACTTTAGACACACATAAACACATTTTCAATGCAAAGGTTCCAACCGTCCATGTGTTTGTATACTTTTTGGCGTTCTAGTATTAGATTATGAAGTTAACAACACTCTGCCTTGGAGTTTTATCGGTGTCAGGTGCAGATTTGAATAGTTTTCTTTATTAATATTCCCCGAAAGGTATCAGTTCAGCGATGTTGCATGTCAGTTTTTTTTTCAAATAGTCTACTACTTGATATACTAACACACACACACACTCCAGCAGACAACAGGTTTGTCTTGAAATTCATTTCAACTTAATCACTGGCATGAGAACATTCACATCCATCTGCTTTTAGCATAAGCATGCTAAAAAAAAAGACACAGATAAATATTGTTTTGTTTTGTTTTTTTTTAATTTTAAGAAAACTACTTCTGTTTGCATTAGTGTTTTTTTTTAGTTTTGATTGCTAATTAAGGCACTTTTTTTTAATTACATTTTCAAACACTGCCCCTGACATGCTACATTCAAGCCACAAGAGCGGCTACAAGCAGGGTTGAAAATGTGTAATTTATATAATTGCAAATATTTCATGTCAACACACACACACACACACACACACACACACACCCCCCCCCACAAACATATCACTGCATTAAGTCCCGCTTGAAATGGTTTCTGTTGCCATTTTGGTGCAGTTAGTGACCATGAGGGCAACGTTAGCACTGCACCTTTTTATTTTGATGAATCTTTATGGTTACAGTGTGCGATGCGGTCCTTGTTAAGTGCGGTAAATGAACGATTTTCAATTCATTTTCTGCTATGTGATTGTTATTATTATGGGAGTTTGCCTCAAGCCATATGCGACGTGGTTGTTGTTACCCGTGCGCTTCCTTTAGGGGGTGCCGTAATCCCAAAAAGACAATCATCTTCAAACCCCGCCTGCTATGGAAAGCCATTTGAGCGTTTTTTTTGTTTTGTTTTGTTTTTTGGGTATTTTTGTTTGTTTTTTTGCAGGTTTAAAGTTCACGTACGAGTACACTCTGTCCTAACTAGTGAAACAATTCAGAGCACTAGTATAATGACTGTCTTACTTGTATCATGTTTCAACTACTATATTCACTTTTGGCCTACTACATCAAACCTAAGTAGTAAATTACTGTGGTGTACTCGTATAATAACACTACTAGGCCAACTAGTATAAAAACTCTTACAGCAGCAAATATAATGAAAACAGCAGGGACCCCACAATTGAACCCTGCGGAACACCATACGACAATGGGGCAGAGCTACTACACATTAATCAATACCTTGGAGCTATATCAGTACTACGAGTGGCGTTACAAAATTCCCCAAGTTAAAATATAGCGCCTCACCAATCATCATAGTATACTGGTATATATTTAAGATACCAGTCATGCTAGTATCTTAAAAGCGGCGTTAGGAGTCAAAACATACAGTAATTAGTAAGATACAATAGTTCTACCAGGTACCTCAGTCGAGTTATTTTACTAGTTAGGACAAACTAGTACTAGTACATGGACCACGAGGTGGGTATCAAGGATATGGAATTACCACTCAAACGTATTTCCACACGCCGGCCTCCAAAGCTAAAATGCTCGCTCTCCGGTGTTCATTCGTGTTGGTGACAAGTCTGTTTTTTTATGGTGATATTATTATTATGAATATAAATTATAATCATCATGATGAGGTCATCAATGTGATGAGGACTTTTTGTGTAGCTTAGTTTTTATTTGATGAATATTCTATCTATCTTTTTGAGTGCTTGGGGGATTCTTTTTGTTGTTGTTGTGTTATCAATAAACGTCGCACGGTTTTTCGATGCACAAGTGAGCGAGGATGTCACTGCTGCATGGATCAAGAGCAAAGGGGAATAAAATGTCAAATCAACACACCGTCGTCACACTTAAATATATTCAAATAAAAAAATGAAGAAAAAAGTATAAAATAAAAGATAGCTAATATATTGTGTTGGGCTAGTCTGCTTTTTTGTTGTAAAGAGACTTTTTTTTTTGAGAATGATATACAATTTGTGTATATTTTCATAAATAAAAGTATGCACTGATGTTATTTCGAAATCTATACTGCTTTTACAAAAAAAGTGTTTGTTATTGTACCAAAGTATCCGATGCTCCCCCTCTTCTTGCGCCCGCCCCTCGCTCCCCTTTTTGTGTGTTTTACCGTATTTTATATATTAAATAGACAAGTTGACCTACACCAAACTTTGTCGCTCTTTTCTCTTTGCTTCCTTCTGTTCTCTTTAAAAGTGAACAAAAAAAATGAAAAAAAAAAGCTGTATTTAATATCAGTGAAGTCTCAACATGGTAACTAAAAGAAGTGGTCAAAGTACTCACATTGTGTACTTAAGTAGAAGTATGGATACTTGGAAGTACAGAAAGAATGGTTTAAATACCAGTATCAATTCAACTCAATATTTACTGTCAATTTCATTCAATACAATAAGTGGTCAAAAAAAATTTCAAATACTTGAAAAATATACTCAAATACAGAAAGTATTTGTACTTGGTTACTATGGCAACTCTGTCTCAATTGGTAGAGGGAGTCGTCCAGTCATCAAAAGCCACGGAGGCATGTATGCTACTGTTTCGAGAGAGAGACAGAGACATTATCAAATATACGTCCATGCCGAAGGGTTGGCACTTGGAATCCCAACACGGACTGTCCACTTTCAAAGTGTCCTTTGGCAAGACAATTAATCCTTATGCCTATTGGTGTAGGAAAGGTGTTTGCTGTGTGTGTGTGTGTGTGTGTGTGTGTGTGTGTGTGTGTGTGTGTGTGTCTGTGTGTGTGTGGGCTCGCCCCGCTGTCTGCGATGTTGCTAATTCAATTTCCACATACTGATTAGATGACAGTGGGCATCTGCTGCCACACACACACTGACACACACATAGTTATGTGATTCGGTGAAAGCCTCGCCCAGTCAAGCATAGACCTCCTTCCTTTCATGCCGTCAGCTATATAGGCAATTGCATGTGTATCCTGATGTAGATATGAACAACCCCACAAAAGTAGCTTTTTGAGACAAAAATTTGCCCCATGTACCATTTCACTGACCAACACAAAATTAGATGGCCATGTCAATAA